CGAGATTGCTACAGCGTACGATGATGACCCTATATACGGCGCCATCATTCAGCACCTGCGTGCTCCTAGTAGTGACACGCTAAGTGCCCTGTCAAAGACCACGCGGAATCAGATCGATCGATATCGACTGGACGGTAATCTGCTCAAGTACAGCATCGACAGGTTCGATGGTCCTCGAGTCGTCGTCCCAAACGACGCTGATCTACGTGCGCGCATAATCCACGAGTATCATGACGCCCCGACTGGAGGGCATCTCGGTCGCGAGAAGACGTACGCGGCTCTGTCGAGAGACTTCTATTGGCCGCACATGTACAAGTGGGTACGCAAGTGGGTCCGCACATGTGAAACTTGCCAGCGAGTCAAACCGTCTTCGACGTCTCAGGCCCCATTGCGCCCTCTTCCGGTCGCCACGAAAGCCTGGCGCTCCATTTCGATGGACTTCATCTTCGGTCTTCCGCCCGATACAGCCGGGCGCACAGGTGTACTTGTGTTCGTTGATCGTTTCAGCAAGATGGTCCATCTCGTTCCGGTGGCGGCCTCAATCACCGCGGAAGAGTCCGCGGCCCACTTCGTCGACGTGATTTTTCGTCACCACGGCCTGCCGGAGTCTATCGTGTCCGACCGCGACCCGCGTTTTACATCCGCGTTCTGGTCACGCCTCTTCGAGCTCTTGGGAACCAAATTGCTGATGTCAACTGCGGCACATCCGGAGACGGATGGACAAACAGAACGCGTCAACCGCGTCCTTGAAGACGTTCTCCGAAGCTACGCAACTTGTACACGAGCTGGAGCTCGTTCCTACCGCTAGCCGAGTTCGCACTCAACAACGCCGAGCACTCCTCGACGGGTATGACGCCGTTCTTCGTGAACAACGCTCGCCACCCACGTGTTCCGGCACTCCTCGCCGTGGGTCACCCCACGGATGCTGGCGGCTCCACCCTTGGTGGGGGAGAACCTCCTTCGGTCGACATGGATGCTGAAGCTGCGCTCAGCTCTAGGGACAACGTGTCCGTGTCGTGGTCATCACCGGTACGTGAACCGGTGTCTCAGCACGCACCGGTAGCCTCACCGGTGTCAACAAGCCTGCCGGCGCACTCGACTTCAGGGTTATCTTCGGGTGTAGCCAGTGCGAACGCCCTGACTCGTTCTCCGTCCAAGCAGTCCATCGAGCCTCCTCGGCATACTGCATCTCCGATAACGAGATGGACGTCGCAGAACTTGATCGATCCAGGCAGCAAGATTCGTGAGCAAGAAGCTACCACGGCAAACTATACACCGAAACCCTCGGTGCTTCCTGCCGATCGCTCGGCAGTTGCGGAATTCGTCATGCAAAGGCAATCCATCGCAAGGTTCGTCCGCGACGCACTGCAGAACGCAGTGGACAAGCAAAAGGAACAAGCTGATAAGCACGGTCGAAAGAACGTGAATGTATTCAAGATAGGAGATCCCGTTCTCCTATCGACCGAGGGAATCCGCGCTTCCGCCGTGACCAACCTCGGCGCCAACAAACTTGCCCCACGCTTCATCGGTCCTTTTCGTGTAACCAAGGCTGTGGGCGACGCCTACACCTTGGACATCCCGTCATCACTTAGACTCCACCCGACGTTTTACGTCGGGCGACTCAAGCGGTACTTCCCTGCGACGATTCCTGATTCGAGCCAGCAGACGGAGCATGCGTCGGGCGACCAGCCCGACGAGCCTGACGCGCCAGAAAGCCGTCAGCCCCTGGCGCCCGCTCTCGCGGACGATCTCCCTGCTGGGCAGAGCCAAGCACATGCGTCTTCAATCCCCGTAGGCGAGATAACAGCTCCCGATTCGACTGACGAAGCTCCGACGCGATCTGCTCAGCCCGCCAGGCACGATCTTCCGCCCGCTCAGCCACAACCTGAGCGTCCAACGCGCGGTTCGAAGCTGCCTCCACCTCGCCCTGAACGTACAGGGCGTACGCCGTATCATCGTGAAGGCCCACCACCGATAATTGACTCGGTGGGTGATGCGCGCTGGATTGTGGAGCGTATCGCTGACCACGAAGATCCCCACAGCTCGACCGCTCAACGAAACGTCCGTAGTCGTGTTCCTCGCGCGATTCCCGACCGCGCGCCGCTACTTGGTACGTTGGCTCGGTTATCCCCCAGAACATGATACGTGGGAGCCCCGCGCCAACCTTCTCCGCGACGTTCCGGACGTGGTCCACGAGTATGAGACCATGCTGCTTGAGAAGAAGAATTCCGCGGGTCACCCCGCGGAGACCGTGAATGAGATCGAGAACGGCCACGAGTACGACCCGCACGAGGAGGTGACAACGACGCCGCGCTCCGACGCGTGCAACGTCGGCGTGAGCCGCGGCGAAAACTGACACAACTTGTCAGTGCAAGAATGAAAACAAGAAACCACCGGCGACATCGAACCGGTGACCAGTGGGTTGGCAACCCGACACGCTACGACGGCGCCGAAACGACTTCGATTACCAGCGGCGACACGGTGGCCAACAAGTACCTGATTCTGGTGACACCAGCGGGGACAACGTGATGCTCACTTGGGTTGCTCAAGTGGTTGACTTCCGTCGACAAGTCTCATGTCTTCGAGATGTTCAAAGCTATTCCGTTCTGGCAGCAAAAACAATACTCGCGTGAGTGAATGCGCCTGGTGGGAATCGAACCCTGGCGTCCTGACTGGAAGCCCCATGCATTGACCATTGCGCCACGAAGTCGGCTTCGTGAGGTTGCTCATGTCTGTGATCCAAGTGCCTCCAGCTCGGAGTCTTCTAAGTCGTATGTACGCTGGGCACTTCGTCGATGTGTGTCTTGGGAGCCGAGACGCACAGTGACGGTCCTCGCAGTACATCCAGAGCTTGTGGCGCACCTGTCGACCCTGGGCTTGCCCTTGTTACCACCGCCAGCGCGCTGGCGCTGCCGTCCTTCGCGCTGTCTCCGATGTCTCCGCCTTGTCGGTTTTCGAGTTCTTCAAATGTGTTCCGTGCGCTTATGTTGCGTAAGCGCAACTTAGAGAGGAGGGTGATGTAATGGGCCCAACTCCAATTACATAAGTAGGTAGATACTTCTTTAGTTATTACATAAGTAGGTAAAGTGGCACACGGGTAGCGTGTGCCAAAGTGTCATCGTTGTAGACACACGAAATGAATGTTTGCTTGAATATACCATCACTTCATCGCCTTATTGCCTTCTTCTTGCTATGTTTCTTATTATACGTATAGTGTCTTTGCGAGCTAAACACACGGACAGCCGATAAGGCTGATGATGACCTCGCGTGGGATTTAATTCCCATTAAAATGTAGTAAGCATATATTGTGCTCTTAAGCCGGTTAGTCTTGCACAAGGATGCAGTGAAGTCTGTTGGATCTACCCTCGCGTCTCCTCATGTCGATTTTCCGCCGTTTAGCTGTTGGTTTGATAGCCACAAAGATATCGTTGATGTCTCCGATCTTCACTGTGGTCTTGCTGCTGACGTCCACTTTGTTCCAGTATTACCATATTGTTTTCGTGCGAATGCAGTCTATAAGATTCAGTTGCTACGTGAAACGAATACGTACGTTAAGCCTCTAGAGATATTACTTTGAAAGTATGGCATTACAAATCCCTTACTCTGACAATACGGATCGCTGACTCTGACAATACGGATCGCTTACTCTGACAATACGGATCGCTTACTCTGACAATACGGATCGCTTTTTTATTTAGCTTAAAATAAACAGAAAAACAAATTAAATTGTGTATTCAGTTATTCACTGTCCTGTGCACTCTCCGCCCCACTCTCCCACTCGCTCTCCTCCGCGCGTTCTGCTTCTCCCACCTCCCCACCCTCCTCTTCCTCGACTTCTTCTTCGCTTGCGTCCTCACTTTCGTCGTCGCTCTCAGCGTCGACCGCATCATCATTATCTACGTAGAAATCATCATCGCTCTCCTCCTCAATGTTATCACTGTGCTCGACCTCGTCATTCACGCCGTCCTCGTGGTACACGTACGCTAGCTCTTCAGTGTAGCTGGACTTCCCCGGTTTCTTCGGATGGCGGCGGTGGTTATGCTGTACAGCGCGTTTCGCTTCTTGAATTTCCTGTTGCACTTGTGGCAAATCCCCCCACGCGCATCAGCTTCTAGGCGCGCTTTCTTGGACTTGACCTTGTTGGGGTTGTCAGCACAGTAACGGCGGTGGTTGGAGAGATGACGACGCGATGTGCACTGTTGGACGCAATGCTCGCACATGTAGCTTTTGAACACAGCAGCTTCAGTTGCGTCGGCTATCAACAGGCGATCTGACATCCTTAAGAAAATTATCTCAAAGATAAGGTCAATGGAGCTGGCTAATACGCTAAACTATCCCAAATCGGGCTATAAGCTCAAGGCGATTACTGGTTTTAAGATTTACATATACATGTACTTCCGTGGGCATGCACTTGGTGATAGTGAAGTTGTTATCCCTAAGATAATAC